CAGCCTTTGTACCCTTTTCCTTGATATCGTCTTTCACGTAATCTACAGCTGCATTGGCAGTGTCCTTGGCAAATTCGACGCTGGGATCAGGTTCATTATTGGCGTTATTGTCGACATTACTTTCGACGTTAGTCTCGACGCTAGTGTCGACGCCAGTGTCAACGTCGGGTTCGATGCCGGTTTCGGCGTCAGCACCGAGGCCAGCGCTGAGGCCAACGTTGAGGCCACTCCAGAGAACATCCGTGAAATCCGCAGTAGTGGTGGCGGCCGTGGCGATAGCAAAGATGATAAGGCACCGAAGAGAGCGCATCAACCTATTCGGATAGTTTTAAGATTCTTGATCTAATTTCAATAATGAGTGACCTGGAGTGGCTGACTTGAGCCAGATATCTGAGCTGAAGTTGGGGTCTATGTACCATAGTTGCTGTAGGTCAAGCAGTAACCGGAAAGTTAAACATAAAATTGGCTATAACATGATTATGGTACATGAATCTGTCATAAAATGTGGACATTAAACGCAATGTGGTAGGATCAGATGGAATTGTCTGTAAAAGAATCTGGTCTGAAATTCATTCAGAGAATTATCAGTTTATTGGTTACACGAATTGGACGAAAACTTAAAAGTACAAATATTAGTAAATAAAGTGTGCGACGATATATTTGCGTGCATGGAGCAGTATGGATAACAAGAGCTTTATAATCTCTGCATTCGATTAAATTCCATCAATACACATGAAAGGAACTTGCTTCGTCATGTTCAACAACAAAAGGTGCTACAAATCAATAATATGTATTTGTGTATTGGACCAAAAACTGGTTTTGAGTATTGTGATAAGCGACGATTTTAATTGGTTAATTGTTGAAGATTTATCACCGGTCTTCGTCCAGGTATCCTCTGTATGTTCTATTCAAAATGTCAAAATCGGTGGGATAGCAACCCGTTCTCTGGAAACTATTGGTTATAGGCTTTCCGAAAAGCCGGACCAGGTATTAGTTTATGAATCTGAGCAGGCATTCAAGTGCCTTGCAATTGTTTTTCAGCTTAGCAATAGAATTCGGTTGTCATTGCAGATGCAACGTAATTAATACTTAGTCTTTTTCGCGTCAACGAGGGATGACTACGGCCGCAGTAATGTTAGGTCGTAATACAAATTCAACTATAATACGCTTAATTCCGATATTTTTTATTTCGTGGTGTGGTTGTACATCATCATTTCACAATTTACCTCTTTGTAAATGATTTCTGGTTTCAATCATCTTTAACACATTTATTGTGCAATACGAAATCGATAGCCGTCGTTGAACTCATCATTGCAGTACGCACTTGCTGCATAAAAAATGTCCACAAAACATTTGCTACATTGGCACTGTTGCGATCGTTTTGTTACATACCCAGTGATTATTCCCAAACTCCCTGTAAGAATCGAATCTCAAGTGCAGAGCAGTATTCAACGACTTTTTAAAGACATCATATGCGCCGCTAACAAGATCAGCTTTTGGCGCGATGATTTCAATCAAGTATAAATCTGTCTCTTGATTGCTCATTTGGTATTATAAGATACAATCGAGTCGACTGTACAGGCGCGATTTATGCGCATCTTTCATCATCAGTGATTGCCCGGATTAGTAGTGTCTGAACTGGTTATCTAAAACGACCTTGATGTTACGTTCAGTATTACTGACGTACATACTGATAATTATACTCATTAAGCCGGTATTCTTGGACTTATAAGCGGTGGTCGGTGCTTTATGTCCGCTGGTTATTGTAGCGCAGACCTTGAAGACAAAGAAAGTCAAGATCGAATAGTGTACATATTGTTTATAGGATAACGGAGGAAACGTAATGTGATTGTCCTAACCGTGATAAAAAATAAACACAGTCGAGCCTTTGTGTTGAAAGCTGTTGATAAAAGTCCGCCGTGCGCTTCGTCTATCCAAGCTAAGAAACGACAAAAATTTATTTTGTGCGCAATAACTCCGTAATGTGCAGATTGACTACGAAAGATAAGCATTTAACTATCGAGTATAATATTAATAGCTGCTCGAAAGCTGTATTATTCGATCTAACCTATAGTGTTGAAAGATCAGGTAGCACTATCTCGAGATCAACCATTAATGCCATGAATTTGTAAGAAAGTGAGAAGTCAATCTGCAACGTTTTCAGCCTAAACTGATCATAGAGCTGTCTTTAGATCGAGCTGTGAGATACAACTGAGGACATGGTACAAACTGTTGAACTCGATGCTAAGATACTTTGCTTTTGTCCAAGGAAGCTGAGCGGTAGCTCACCACATTGCACCTCCCCAAGCCTTCATTCAATGTGTCGCAAAATCTCTGCATTAGGCAAGTGATCAAACAAAGCAAGGGGTGCTGTTAAGCATACCGACATACAACTATGCATAAGTGCCATAGTACGAAATTCTGATCACACAATGGTACTGTGGTAAGTTTTAGTATCGGACTGTAAAATGTACATATCTAGTAGTAATGTATGTTGAACTGGATTGATAGATGCACTGTCATCCAAGAGTACATATACGTCATGATTATCCTGTTTAGATAAATACTAAATATATACGTGATACTATCTCTGATGATAAAACTTTCTCTATTTACTGACATGACCCACGTGTACACCGAGCTCGGGTGCGTAAGTGTATTAAATACGATTATATTGGATGTGTAGACTGATCCTGCTACACTTTCACTGCAAAGATGTACACCGCATTGTGGTTCTCACTTCTTTTGTCGTTTTTCACGAGCAGCTGCTGTGCCTGGATTCTCATCCACCCTTTGCGTTTTACTATGCCTGACTTCATAGCATATTTTTGCACCAAAAACCTCCTCCAGTGCATCCAAACAAATGACTCAGCGATCCTTCAGGAAAGACGAGTATGCCGAGGTGTTCTCGGATGAGAACGACCGAAAATTTTCGCCTCAACGTGACGGCAAACAACGTAGCCGCTCACCGGAAAGTTGCATACTGTTCTCAGCCACCCTTTTCGCGAGTTACGTACTGTGTGCTTTTTTGCCTTGAGTAGCACATCACGCTGTGGAGCTCGTGGCGATTTTCAACTCGCCATCGGAGGTCTTGTTCTGGTACAAAAACACGATCCACACCGACTCTTGCTCAACTTCTTGCGCCGTGATTTTAACTTTTACCTGTCAAAGGCAACTCGACGCGCTGGTGGGACCTCCAAACACGACTATATTTTGGGTTTTCTGGTCACACCAAAAGCAAAAACGAGCATAAATACGCTGCTGTGGCCCACAAAATCTGTGTGAATGTACTTTGTGGTGTTGATAAAATGCCGATGAGCAACAAGCTCATTTCTCACACCGTGGGAGGAACGCGCCGTCTCGCCCGTTTTAAGTCTTTATAAGGTAGTACAAGCTATACAAACGCCGATAGCTTATTTTTGTGTCATGGGATTTAAGACAAGATGCGCACGTCGAGATGACACCCCATCACCTCCAGCTCCTTGAAGCAGCTGTGACAGCTGAGGTCAAAGGTATAATATCTTCCACAAGATCGGTTGCCATCCACTAGTAGCAAGTTCGTTTTGACGGTAGATTCCCAACTCCAAGGGAGATAAAGATCGAGGTTGTGCACGGTCGTAAGCAGCGCTTTCTTGCCCAGATAGGACCCCAAACTCCCACGGACTTTCCGAGAGAGATATTCCTTCCACTTATTCGAAACTGGTGACAGACCGGTGTAACTGCTGCTCTCCAGACGTTCCACAGACACATGGACCATCCTACACTTATCGTGTTGTGATGACAGAGGGCGATTCTCTCGTGGCTAGCTGTCATCAACACTCGATTGCGGTGGGCACTCTTTCTCAGAGTCTGAACATGCGTCCAAAGCTAAGATAGGTCAGACCTCGGATCACTTGATGATCTTTTGCATCGTATTGCGCTACTTGAGGCATAAGCAACGGTTTTGAACTGCTTCGCTGTTTGAAGCAGAGGGTTGCTCAGTTAAAGTGCTCAGTATCCAACAACTGGTATCAATGAGTTTCAGTTATGAACATCTTGCATCGTAGCCTTTGCATCGCGCTTCGTGTACATGACACTCAATTCTTTTTACATAAATGCCCAAGTTAGCCAAAATGCGAATCCAGCTCGTAATAAGCAAGTCAAAACTGATCACAAGTTCCTTATTAGAGGCATGTACTATGTTATTCAGTGCAAACACAAGTGTGGGAGTTACTCTCATCCGCACTACAATCCCACCGCGCTATTGTTTTGGAACGTTTCACTTACCGCACGTATCGCACGCATTGTCTGAATATTTGCGAATGACCAGAGGCTGCCACGCCCAAGTTTAAACCAAGCACATTAAACAATATTTGTAAAAACGTTGCTGAAAGCGCGGACCTTATCCAATATAATGCAACCGATATGCAATTTTGCAGTGAACTTTGTTCAGGAAACAGCCTATCTGTATGTGTACAGTATTGCTTGCGGAAGCGAAATAACCATCTAGCTAAGACAGTAAAAAAGGACCCATTGCCGGATCTACCGGAAGCGTCTTTCGAAAGGCTAGCGATATAGTCAATACTTATGGACTAACAATAAAACTACCGAAACCAGCAGACTGGCTAAAGGTGTCACTACATGCGGTGAGCGTTTGCTTGTTGATAAGGGTCACGCTTGCACACATGTACTCTTATCCACTTATAAGTTGAGGACCACCAATGCGTAGCGGTCACCGAGGTAACTACCCAAAGGAGTATCATACACCTAGTGAAGCACTACCAGTAATTTTGGTCAGTGCTGTAATATAGAAGTCCTAAGATAAAAATAGAGGTGCAAACGTGCACCTCGCGCAAATATACGACATCCGAGCCCAAAACTTCTTAATTCCCACAGCATCCAGCAACGCGACAAATGTTACGCCTGACTTATTCGCTTTCGTGTCACTTCGTCAATCGGCGACGATATCATCGTGACATCCGACTATTTATAGTCGCAACATCACACCTTTCACAACATTAAGCCGACCTGGATTGTAGTATTCTACTCGACAAAAAATAATCATCTTGATCAAATTAAATTACTCGACTTTGTGTTGCTTTTGAATTGGTTAAATGAAGAGTAAGTCATTTTTGCCAAGTTATGAGTTGTGGCTGTAAGCAATCGTTCTTAAGTCCCTAAAATTACAGCCATTACGAGATGTAGTGCCTGACTTGTCACTGCACCTTTTCAGATTACAAGATGATTGCGACTAGAAGAAAACAAATCTTTGTGAATATTGATCACCAGCTCACGATAAGCTGAATCACGGTGGGAATTGAGCCAACAACCAATCGAATAGAGCCCCACACTTAGCGATTGATTCAATATGCGGCCTAGCCCAGCGTTACAAATCACAAGTATTGATATGCAGATATGCTAAACACACACTCACAACTTGTGGTACATCACACTTCAACATATCTTTCTTTTCCTGGTGAGCATTGTGTTGACGACTTCGCTCGGCGAAATAAACCACGATCTGTATATATTATAGCCAAGTAGATGCACATTAAATCTGGCAAGAAGCTTTCTGCCGTGATTATGTGAGCTTTTTTCTCTGTCGCTTTTGGCTGACGAAGCCTTCACAAATCACGCATTTGTGCTCATGTCATCTTTTTTAGGTATGCACAACCTACTGCAACAGCCGAACAGCCTCATACGATGTAACATTCGAAAGGTCAGAACATTCGAAAAAGCAAGAGGCTATTCACAGCCTCAAAGGCCACCGCTTACTCTCCATCACCATTTGTTTTTATGTTTAAGGAGATTGGTGAGGGATCGTGCCATGTCGGCATAGGTCAAGCTGTACCTGTGCAAGTAGTTGGCCGTGCCAAGCCAATTCTTGAGTTCTTTAGGGATAGAGGCACTGGTCAATTCACATCGTCGTTTTCTTCACGAGATCCTTCCGCATACCCTGTCTCACAATGAAGCAACTTGGAATGATTTTAAATCTGCGTCCGAGACATATTTGTCGATAATGGGAAGTAGCTTATCCAAGAGCATCCGTTCGAGCGCCGTTCGCAAGTGTTCAATGTGGTTCTCTTCATCCAACAATCTTTGCTCTGCGCAATATACTTGAACAGCCGCATTATTAAAAGATTGAACGTCGCTGGAGCTTTCGATAGTCCAACAGCAAAAGTAGCCACTACTGCAACAAAGGAGATTTTATTGTCTCTCACGAGAAGTCGAAAACCTCCATCAACCAGTAAAAGACACTGAACAATGAGCAGTCAAGCATGCTGCTTAACAGCACCACCTTCAAAATCGGCGACCGCGCCACCTTGGCCAATGTAGATGCATCACTCATTCCAGCCTTTTCTGCAGCCACGCGCACGAAAGCATTGTTCTCAATTTAGGCAAACATGCTACAGAATTGGCCTTATTGCACAACACTATTTGAAACCAGCAATACGTATCTAACGCGCCCGCTGGCTTTTGTCGTCAAAGATGCAATCACGTCTTTAACTACGAGTCGGGTGTGATGCTGCCGCGCGGTTTTGGGCATGACAACATCGTCCTCAATATATTTAGCAGCATTCACAAAATGCGGAAGTGCGTTCTCGTTCCAGTGTAGTGCCATTACAGGTTCATTGTCACTAACTGATGTCGACAAGAGGTACTCATATACCTGGAATAGAAAACACGCAAAAAAGTTATACTTGAGTGCATGAGATTTGCTAAGGTAAATACGTAGATTTACGTGGGTGATGCAATCTTGGCACAAAAGTATTTTCGACATATGACAGAGTTTTGTGATGCACTCTACTCAAGAGAAAGAATGAGCTTTGGATAGGTGCTACTGAAAATTTCTATTGGGGTGCATGCTTAGACCAAGTTGTAGGTTAACATCGTGCCAAACTGTATGGCTTACACCTCGCGTAGAAGAATAGCAGATACCACGCTTGACTTGGTGCTTACTAGAATGACGAAGGTTCTGGCTTAATATGCCGCAAGAATATCAAGGCATGAAGTCCATACCAATCTCTTTCCATTGTCTAGGTAGGTGAGAAAGGGAAAACACACATACTAATATATACAAATTCCTTCTCAGCAATCTTGCCTGATTAAAAATTATGTTTTCAATATAGTCGCGGCAAAGAAATGAGTTGATTGCCGAAAGCAAAAGAAAGAATGTGCTCGACAATATGACAGAACGTCGTGGCTCATATAGGCCAGTACTTACTATTAACCAGGACGCCGAAGAAATATAAAAATGTCGATCGCCTGACTGTGCCATTGCGGAGACTATTTCAGAAGACTCACTTTGTAGTCTTATTATTTTCTTAGCGGACAAAAAGCACGCCAACTGATTAATGGGTTACCTACTAGATCTAAGCAAATTGACGAGGGGTGCCTTCTCTTTGCCTGATGTGCCGATAATTTCTAATGACGTATCCTGAAACATTAAGGCACAGCGTTCTAGCCGCTCATACTAACCACTTCGCAAGATTATTCAAATGCAGATAATGCTAAGAGAATAATCACTAGGTTACTACTGAAACAAACACAATCACTTATAACAAAACCTTCGAAAGTTTTCGGTGAGATTTCTCCGATATGTTATAACATTTGAATTCGAAGTCAGAAGTGTTCTTCGTGAAACAATTGCTCGCTAAATGGCAAGCATGAGTTCATGACTTGTAAAGCTTCACCAGCAGAGAAATACGTGGAGCCTAAGTTTTTTGCCCTCCAGTCGATCCATGGGGCATAGCATTCAAGCCAGCCATAAGTATCTTCTCAGATATGAGTACAAGACAAGACAGCGTCCCACGCAGTCAACCACTCAAAATTCAGCTGAAGGTTTAACACAATTTGGGACACTTTAAATAGTGCCCCGTCGCAAGCCGCAATAATTCTATCCGTATCTATCCTATTCAATTCTCCCGTATTTGAGCTTATACATTGGTCACGAGTTCTGCAGAATACACAATGCTCCTGAATCTGACAGGAATTTCCATCGTTTGGCAAAGACCGGTACATTTATGTTTACAAACAACAACCTTTCCATGCCTTCGGCCTCTTTAAAATCGTCTCTCGCTCGTATTGACTATAACCTATGAAAGTTATAGTAGATTTCAGCTTACGTTTTGCGACGATGCTTTGTCTAGAAACTCTTCGTGGGAGCACGACTATTCGCCTGGCTCCACCAGGACAGAAATATGCGCGCAGGGCACCGATGCTTTCAATGCAACAGTTGCTATATCACGGTTATGATTAGTAGCTAGAGGTCGCTGGCTTTTTCTTTTACAAAGCTGATGTCCATCACACTCTCAGATCTTAGACTGCCCGTGTTCCAACCACCTTCAATGGCAACATTGATTGCATCACCATTGCTGCTTTTTGAAACGTAAGATGGTCTTGGTCCATGCCGCGACCGGTCAGAGACCGTCCAAAATTCTGGTAGTTACCATCCCTGGAAGTAGGTGGGCCGCCCATGCGACTAGCTCCCGGACATTGTCTGCTAAATCTATTCTCCATTAATGGGTGAACAAAAGTTTGGAACCAAGGAGTACACCTGCTTTACTTTCTCCGTCCCGATCCTTACAGGAATCGGATCTTGACATAAGTGGCATCAACTTAGTTGCAGATTTTGCTTCCATCGACTGCTTGGGTATGACGCCTCAAAATTTATATCTCTAGCGCATCTTTATAGCAGGTAAGCGCCTCCAGAGGAGAGATTACCAGTTCCGGTGCTGGTATTACTAGAAATCTGATCGCTTCGGGACTGATGATAGTGCCGGACACAGGGTCTTGGTCAACGCCTACCACATCCTCACGAAGTGTACATCTTTCACGATTTGATCGTCTGATTATATGCAAGCTGCAGCGGGGCTGCCGTAGCTTTGCGCTTTGAGGAAGCGTAAGTTAGGTTACCGACCTCTCGTTCCATACTTAGAACAAGTTTGAGTTTAGCCGATCAAAATCCGCTTACTCCAAGAGTAATTATTGCCTTAACCCAAGGCTCATTAACTCTTCCGTTTAAATCCCAAACTGAATTTATTTATCTGCGGCAAAGCCGCCTAATTTCAAATGTGTAGATTTTTCTAAATATACATAGTAAAATGCCCAGCCATATACCGTTTTGGTATTTAAGTGCAGTCACACCATGCCCATCCGTGTGACACGTACCTTGTTACCAGGGTACGTGTATTCCCTTTACGCAAGCGCTTTCAAGTGCAACGGGTTTGATGTGTGCCTTGTACATTTACATATTTGACTCAAAACTTCCTAACACACATAGAAAGATTCGTACGCTTCAACCAGAGCGGGGCTGAGAGATATTAAAGTATGTAGCTACTTACTTTGGTCTTCTGACATAACTGAATTCAAAAATAATGCTCCAATGTATCCAATAAAACTACCTTAATTACTGCTTAAAGTGAGGCTAACAGCGTACGTGTGCCTTGGACCTCCGTATCGAAGTTCAGTCATCTATATTGGTGTCAATACCTCCGTACTTTTGATTACTCACTATTACACAAAAGCAAATGTAAGGTGTACGTACACAACACATCGTGCATTTTTTAATTATTCGTAACTCCATAATTACATACTTCTTTCGACTTGAGTGCATTGAATAGTTCTAAATAGATACAATGGTCAAGCTGTTTGTTTTATCTGGTGTCATAGATTTTATGCGTAGCATCAGCAATCGTACGATGAGTCTAAAATTCATGGCCTACCGTCTAGATGGTTGTATAACTGTACTCAGCTAAAATTGATGATCAGTCTGCTAAAACAAGTGTGATGATGTAATTGACGAGATCTTTAATTTGATGTGCTTGCAATATATGGTTCTGTTGTCCCACTCGATCAATCGAAGTATCAAGTACTTGATTTAACAAAACTGACTGTTCATTCGTCTGTTTGACGCCAGCATCATTTTCCACGCCAAGATCTTGGGTAATGGGTGAATAAATTCTTTCGACTTTCATGGTTTCACAAAATTCTTTGTGTAAGTTGTTTTTGATGACACATATACTCTAAAATTTACTTGATACATCGTAAACCGGCCTCTTAAAGCGCCAGCTCTTAGTACCGTTATGTTAGATATCTAGCATGCAAGAAGTTCATGACATTGCTCTTTTATCTAAGTCTTGCTCACATACATAGCGTATGACAAATCACAGAATTTGTGCAATATACATGGAGAAAAAGCCACCGACTAAATTTGTAAATCATGAACCACAACTTTTAAACCAATCAGATGATAGCAATGAACATGACAAGAAACGCCGTAAAAAGCGTGTGCGTCCTGTTGTCGACTCATCGACCACATGCGTCCCTGAGCAACTTCACTGCCGATATGCCAACAAGAAATGTCTAAATCCACGCGCTATTAAGCGCACAGGTGGTCTACACACTTTCTGCTCTATACATCGTGCCAATGCCAACCGTAATCAGCGCCGCCTGGACATGCGTAAACGCATGGCTCGACACGCCATACAAGCGCAAGATCAAACGTTTCTGATCTCAGATACAGTCAATTTGAGACAGCAAGTGACACATCAACATCTATCGTATTCATATGCTAGTGATACATGCTTTGAACCGCTGCACACGCCCACACCGCTGTTGGAGGAAGATATCTTGATGTTAGTATCTCTCTTTTTACCTCAACAAGACAGTGCGCTTGAAAATACTTTCGAAGTTGCGCTTGATACTACAGCATCTCATGATCGATCTTTGACACCGAACGGTAAACGTCAAAGGAAAGCTGCGTCTCCTTGACTTAAAGCGTGTTATACGTTCACATGCAGTAGTGGAAATTGCAGTAATTGTAAAATAAACAATTCGCGACATTATGAACTCCTACTTTGTTTCATACCATGGAGCTTTGAGACGAAGTGGTGCTTGTACGAGTGTAACTTAGGCAGCACCCGCTACTTGCGCTAGAATTGCACCAACAACGGCAGAGATGGCATCAGTGAAAGGTACTTAAACTTACATCTTAAAAAAGGTGTATGCTATTAATGAATGAACACATTTTATCAACTGCAAATGAGTAAATGCTTATTACAAGCTATACATTTCTCATCCACAGTATCTCTATCAGCTCAACACTTGATCGATATGATGTTAAATGAAGTTCAAGCCGATTCCACCAACCACGGAGGCTACCACTACACACATCGACACGTGACGAGTTGAAGAGGCAGTAGAGGAATCCGAATTATTAGAGCTAGCTGAACCGTCACTGGTGATATTGGCTCTGTCGCTGTCCGTGTTCCTAGCCGAGTCAATAAGACTGCTGGTTACATTCGTAGCACCAGTGGCTGTTTCAGGCGACGTTCCAGTAGCGTTGGCGACGGAATTAATGGCTGAAGTTGTTGCGGCATCGGCTGTGTCTGCTCCTAGATCAATCGCAGCATTAGTCGCATCCGTAGCAGCGTCAGTTGCCGCGTCAGTTGCCTTATCCACGACTTTATTTGCTGCATCAGTCGCGGCATTCGTAGCAGCATCGGTGACGCTGTCTGCGAGGTTATCCACTAGATCAGCTTGGACAGCAGCAATACCAGCGAAAGCAATGGCAGCAATGTATGAAAGAACTTTCATAATACGTTAACACTTTCTTTGCTTTGCGATAGCTATAGACAGCAAATTGGAGAATAAACGACTTGTAATACAGAGCGAGAGAGGCTGTCGCCATGTGGATGTCGTCAAACGTTGAGGAATATATTGAAGAATCATACTGTACAATGCTTATTTAATATATGACTGACCTCCTTTACGATGTATTATGATATAACTCAGAAACATACTTATTACATTTGTCTTGACTTTAGTAATAGACCGTTGGCTTAGACTTAAGAAAAGTTAATAATATCATTAAACACCATCATAATACTAGACTTGGGTAAGGATTTCACTTGATATTTTACATGCCCTACACAGAGTATTAATTTTGCTGAAATACATTGATGGATTTTCTTCCGGTAATTAGTTACACTTACGTGTTGGTATAAAACGGTAAGAGACTTTCAATGACCGATTTGCGGCGAATTAATGGTAGCTTAGATGACATGGCGATTTGTTGACTAATAAATTAGTTCCGCCTATGACTAACGACGTCACGATTCGGCGAGCCGAAATGCTTTCTTTATTTTGAAATGAGACTGCGTTTAAGTATTCAGTGCCACTCCATACTGATGATTTATTCTAACGCAAACATCACCAACGATTGTTGACGTCTTGACGTCGTAAGTGTAGGATTTCAGGTAGAGTAAAGTCGTAGACAGCTGAGTTGTTCGAATCTTCTGTCAACGCGCTTCTGGCGTATAATGACGTTACGACAAATTTTTTGCGAAGGCTCAGTCAGAGATTGAATATAACGAGTACCAAGTAACGACGTTAATGTTGATGGTAGACATGAGACAGCATACTTACGGCACACAAGCAAGTGCATTTGTTAGACCATGCCTTTTAGTCATATCTAAGCCTGAACGACACATGCGTCTCGTCTTTGGGCGGCTCAAACGTGGCATATAAAGCGATTTAGACTCAATCGATCAACTGCTTGGTCATTTCGGACTGCCACACTGATAGCGAACTGTCAAGATGAAAAGGTGGTAATTGTAGTAAGGAATATCGTTGGTCGCTCGTACTTACAGCTGCATGGTCAACATGCTTGGCTACTAGTAATCAAAATTACAAAGAATCGTTACCGCTTGTTTATTTAAGTCTTCGTCCTCATATATAATAAGCACAACCAAGTCCTTCGTAATGCATTGACCCATTCATTGCAGAAGTCCACGCGTGCGTTTTAGCTGCTTACACTGATCATCGAGTCGATGGCAATATCACATTCTTCATGTTACCAAGTAAGTGACTTTTGGAACGCGGCCAAGGCTGGAAAAGATTGACTGTGAACAAGAGTGCTGGCTGAGAAGACGCCAAAGAGCTTATTTTTGTTGAATTGCATTGATAAGTGTGCATTTCTTACACAGGGACTGCTAGGCAATGCTGCTTAGTTGCTTAGAGCCTAAAGGCATCACGATAACAGCTAAACCTTCACGACAGATCATAACGGAAATCTCTGTGGGCCATAAGCCTGAGATCACGGCCACCAATGATGCTGCATCGTTGATTAGCATATATGAAGAGTGATCGTTGTCGACAAAGTGCGACAGAACATCCAGTCAAACAAGCTTCTTCCATATCCTCTTACTAGAACAAAAGAGGCTTTGACAGACTTTGTCCCTGAAAGTGCGACTTCCAGACGTTCTACATCCCAGTAAAATCGCACAAATTCTGGCCAGAAAGCCCGCTAGTTGATAGCTCGTCGAAACATGAATCATTTGGTGCAGATAGTGACGTCGCATGCGATGTGCATGGAGAACTATAGATTTGGCGTGGCGAGTGTAATAGATAATAGTTGCACAAATAACCACAAAATTGTTACTAAGAAAATCTTTGGGTGGATCGTTCACTTAAAATCCAATTTTACTTCTCAAGTCGCCAACGCCAGTGAGGTACTTCTGCTTTAGCAGACAACAGAGCAGCATTTCACGTCGTTTGCTTCTGTAGACAGCAGGTGTACCACCATTTGTAAATCGCCAGATGTAGAACGGCAGGTTTTCGTATCACCACCCAAAATCCGCGTCGGTAGATGTTTCCGATAGCTGGAGCACATGTGACAAGATCGAGGTTTGCGCCTTGCTGAACCTTTAGGTCACATACCACCCAAGTATTGGATTGCGATGATACGAATATGTACGGAACGCTGTTCACAACAGCCCCTAAAACACAATGCACACGCTTGTGCTACAAGAAATCGATTCCCGACGAAGACGGAGAAGGACATTACCGACTTGAACGAAAGAAGAACGACTTTTGGGCTTGATAAAAACTTGAAGCCGAATGCAAATGAGTTCTTGATTCATTAATCCACATGCTGAAGAGCTCCTGGGGATATTACTATCAGAAATTTCGGTCGAGCTTAATGTTATATAAGATCTTGTGTGCACGGAGCTCTTACTTCACATTTGTGTAACTTCCCAGCAGAAGTGACTGGTTTACGCCATCCACCTATTAAAACAGACACAAGTTGATCTCGTCACCAGTACCTTTTCCCAAGGTTGATACAGCATCCTGTATCAACCAGAATGTTTGTAACTTCATATAAGATGGGTGGCGAACCATGTTCTAGTTCGGTTTGATATAAACCCTCACGACGCATGCAGAGGTACATAGATGTACCTTCATATAACGGCTAGTGTAGTCTATGACATCATGCATTTCTTTCGCAGGCCTTTCCAATAAGGTCAATTTCGATTAGTAATGAAGCGGTCAAGTGAACATGCCATCTTCAACAAGTGTTCTATTCTTAATCGGCAGCGAACTTTTTAACCTTACCCCTTCTCAAGCGAGATGGTGACAAGAAGCTCTGTACCGAATTGTTTTTTGGTTGGTTTAGGATCAACAACCAGGAAGTCATACTCGAGAGTCGGACGAGGTTCCCACGTGTCCGAATCCAATGGTAACGTGCATGCCCGGACTCTGTAGAAGCGTTGATCGTTCAACTGCTTGCTTACACGATTACGAGTCGATGGATCGTTCTGATTGACGATTGTCCCGACATTCCAGCGACGCTATCCAGGATAGTCTATAATTAGACGCGGGCTTGAACATGAAATCGACCGAGCGACATTTAGAGTGGCAAAGAGCTTATCGCGGGCAAATCAAAGAGTTACAACAGCGTTGCTTGACGCTTGAAGGTCGCTGTGAGAAGCTTTCGAGCTTTTTCCATGGGCTGAAGTCAAAACTCAAGGTTGTGATGAAGGGATCCGCCCAAATGCTTTGGTTGGGGTTACATTTTGAGCTAAGGGTTCAACCGGTTGGTGATGAACTTGCTCGACTCCGGAAGGATGAAAAGTCTCGAGAGCTGGCTCAGGTATTTTTATCACGCTCTGTTATGAGGCAGGCTCTGTTCTCAAGATATTTCCTGGTGAGTATCATTCTTGCTGTCAAGCGTTGAAAATCAGTAAAGAAGCAGTTCTTTATATCCTTCAGCGATCCTAAGCCGGAATAGATATTCAGGGCGAAGAGCTGGTTTTTCTTCGCGGATAAGTGGTGAGAATTCAAGGTCAGCTCGATCATTTACGAAGCATTAGGATCAGCAGTTTCACTTTGAAGATGTGACTTCAGCCTACCCACAGGGTAGGGGCGCGTGCGTGTGGTGATGGATAGGGACCACCATTATATGTTAATACCTCGAACGATCCAACTAAACATAAGTTTACTGCTTCCCAAGTTGGACAGTGAATGTCAAGGCATATTTGTTGTGCTAAGTAGGTCAAGATCGTTGACCTTATACTATTTCCTGTTCTTCTTTTAGTGCTTATCTGCTTGTTTATCTCGCAGATCTGAAGAATTTTCCTTTGCATCTCGAACAAACTTCACAACAGCTTGCACTTCACAATAGGGCTGTCGACGTATTGTTCTTCTCAGCTTGTCATGTCTCTAGAGATCCCATATAGTTAGATTTTCTTATAACTCTGTGACCACATTAAGGCCTAACGGTTACTCCGAAGCCATAGTCCCTCCCCACAAAAGATGGATACCACTCATATTATGGAAGCAAGTACGTTAGGATGAATGCCAATGTTCACATAAAATGGCGAGTGACCTCTCGAGGCATGCATGGAGTTGTTTAACGCAAAATCGGCGAAAGAGAATAATTTAATCCAGTCTTTGAGCGACGTAGCATAACTACGCAGTACTTCCTTCAGGACTCGATTCAAACTTTCTGTTTGATCATCCATTTCAAAGTCTGCCGCTGTTGACACGAACAATTAGGTGCCCGTCCGTCTAAATAGTACACGCCAAAGCTATAAAGTGAAGTGAATGTCACGGTAAGACCCGGAGCTTACAGGAAAAGCATGAAAGCAAGAAGTAATTTCTTCAGACAACTAAGCTTTTTTCTCGGCATAGATCCTATCCAAAATAGTCGCACGATGAAATTCGTAATTGACTCGGTCCATAAATACAAGAATGCCACTGCGTACCACGTGGTACACGCCGAAGTCCGAATATCAAGTTTATTCTCACAGACAATAGCTTTTAGCTAGCACTGCGAACAACCGTAGTGGAGCCTCAAAGATTTAATTTCTGGCAACTTCTACAATTCCTCACGTATTTGCGCACCAGAAAATACATGTCTGGCCAAAAGAATTCCAGGTAAAAACTGAAAAATGATTTTTTTTTCACATCCGAGATGGCTACCCAAAGGGCTGTCATGATACTCAAATAAGGGACGACCGTCATTAGGAGCAACAACTCTTTTTGTATCACTGTGTTCCATCGAATAGTAAAACAGTCCTCCCTGTACCTCAAATGAAAAACACGCACCTTTCGTGAGACGAAAGACCTTGCGGCGCTCCGCCAAAAGGATCCTTAGAATATTCTTATCAAATCATGGCATGTCTCATTAGACGTAAATCCTTCGATAATTCCTTTGCGCAATGTAGTCGTAGCTCGCAAGCAAATTATCCGAACATCATCGCATTGTTGACATTACTCGTGCATATTTTGGCTTCTGGACTTTGAATAGATAA